ATCCCGTGGCTGTGCTTAGCATGCTATCTCCTGTTTCCTGGAATTGGCCTCTGTCTAGATCTGGTGTGGGTTCGGTTTTTCCGACGGAATGCTTTGCTGTGGTGTTGCAGCTTCCATCAGGAGGCATGTGCTCTGCTCAGCCCTCTGTCTGTGTCTTGTTGTGGTCTTTTTTAGCAGCCACCAGTGATCACTGCCCTGATTCACTGTGTCATGAAGAATTGTAAAATGGCTGTGTTCTATTTCTACCATTTCTTTTTCACTTTTTGGTAGGAGTGTTTCTGTAAAGAGGGAAGGAGACCCTGTGCTTTTCCAGAGATACCAATTGTCCAAGAAAGGCAGGATAATATCTTGCTTTGGTTTTGCAAACAACGTCCTAGCTCAAAATAACACCCTGATTTCAAGATGACCTGCGTGGAGGTTCTCAGGTTCATTAGGTTCTCATGGATATCAACTTTTTTGTTGTTCTGATCCATTCTAGACCATATTCTGTGTCCTGGACGGCGTTTATGATATGTGAGGTTACAGTTCTTGTCATAGGTAACTAGTCCCTGATTCTAGACCATATTCTGTGTCCTGGACGGCGTTTATGATATGTGAGGTTACAGTTCGTGTCATAGGTAACTAGTCCACCATTCTAGACTGTAGTTCTGTGTCCTGGGTGGCGTTTTTGATATGTGAGGTTACAGTTCTTGTCATAGGTAACTAGTCCACCATTCTAGACCATAATTCTGTGTCCTGGACGGCGTTTATGATATGTGAGGTTACAGTTCTTGTTACAGGTAACTAGTCCACCATTCTAGACTGTAGTTCTGTGTCCTAACGGTGTTTATTTTATGTGAAGTTGCACTTCTTGATGCAGGTAACTAGCCCCGCTATTCAGACAGACCTAACCAGGATGTCTTCCTTCTCCTTCATGAATCCTCAGGCAGCTTGCCTGCGCCTTTGTGGAGTGAGATGACCCGGTGCCAGGGTGCGGCTTTCTGGGCCTGGTCTTTGGGCATAAGCTCCTGGGACTGGGTGTAAACGGAGCTGCAGTCTGTTCCAGGAAAGCTCCTCAAGGGCCCGCGTCGTGAGGGAGCTGTGCTTGGAGGGTGTTTGGTTTGCGGGTGTGAAGGAGCCACAGCTCCCGTGGCTGCCGTTCAGTGCTCTGGCCTTTCCTCTCGTGTTCATTGCTCTTCTTCTGCAATTTCCCGTGGTAAAGCTCTTTTCATTTTGCTAACTTGGTTTTCAAAGGGCGTGTGGCTTTACACCTGCTTAGGGTCCCTGTCTGCATCACCTGTGGGAAACGTGTGGGAACACGGGCCTCTCCTCAGGCCTCACTTTGTGTTTTCGAAGCATCTTCTCACTTCAGCTTTGAGGGCGTCATCACCCCGCGCACCCACAGGGCTCCCCAGTGTGGATGAGTGCTGGTGCAGCAGGGTTCAGGGCTCAGGGGCCTGTGACCGCAGAGGAAAGGAGGTTCACGATGCTATTCAGGAGTCCAGGAAGGGGCAGCCTTCTGGGGGACAGCCTGGAGCCCATCTGAGGGGGAGGCCGTGAGCGTGGGGAGTGGGCGGAGGCATTTCCAGCAGAGGAGCCCTGGCGTGCAGTGCTTGCTCCGTGCCGGGTCTGGTGGGCTGGGTCGCAGAAGCCCTCGTGTCCTCAGTTCTTTTCCACGCCGCCCGCCGGCATCCCTCACATGAGGGCCGGGTCTCACCGTGCAGCTGCTGTTCTGGGGCCACTGATGAGGTGGCTTCGCCAGCACAGCGGCTGTTTCTCCACCGCCGCACTCCTGCAGTGACAGCCTGGGGATGCAGTGAAATGGAGTTATCCATGAGGTCGCCAGAATCTGAGGACACGTCCTTTCTTGTGATGGCGTTTGCTTACGGAGCTGCGTGCGTCATGGCCACCTCTCCTTCCCCATCACGCCGGGAGCAGGGGTCCCCTCTGTCTGCAGAGGCCTGGCCTTTATTGGCAGGGGCTTTGCTTAGGAGCACATCCATGTAATGTACACTTGCTTTTGAGAGACATCAAGCTGTTCTGGTTTAAATTAATGGGGTCCTTTGTCATAACTGCATGGAAATATACATGTAAGACCTCTGACCCAATTTTCCACGTGGAGGGGCGGCTGCACCTGATGAAGACCCACTGATGAAGCTCAGTGGTGATTTCACATGTTGTAACTCTTCATCGTCCTTTTCTGTCATGTGCTTGAAATCCTGCCAGGCCGGGGAAACAGAATATGTGTTGCTAGTAAAGTTGAACTCATGTTCAGTCCCATGCAAAGCAGATGTTGCCGGGCGCTATGTGGGAGTTGTTGAGTTCAAAGGAATGTCATGGAGGGCTGGGTCGTTTTCTCCAGTTGTTTATTTAAACTTAGTGATTATTAAAATTTAGTTTCAAATACTATTAATTTGGAAGATCACTGGGTTTACCAATAAGATACATTGAATATAGGGTTTTTCCCCCTAGAGGTATGGCTTAGTCACTTAGCTTTGCTAGTATGTAGAAGGAACTCAACTATTGAAGACTAAGAAGGCACAAAATAGCCCTAAACACGTCCAAGTTATGATTGAATACTGTGCTGCTGCTACCATTCTTTCTCTCTAGGTGGTACTGGAGTACAGGCAGCCTAGTGAGAAAAGTCCCCGTCCTGAAGCATTTTGAGGCCAGATGTGGTGACTCACACCTGTAGTCCCAGCACTATGGGAGGCTGAGATGGGAGATCGCTGGAGCCCAGGAGTTGGAGGCTGCAGTGAGCTATGATCACACCAGGTACTCCAGCCTGGGCAACAGAGTGAGACCCTGTCTCAAATAAAATAAAATTAGTAGTAAGTTTAAGAAATATGTAGTCTCAGGACAGGCAGCTTGGTGTTTGGATTCTCAGACCTAGCTCGAATAGTGAAGGATGGGGAACGACAGGAAGTCAGAGGGCATCAAAGCATCAGCCTGGCCCGGGTCTGAGGGTGCGGTGAGTTACTGATTCTGCTGTGCATTCGAGGTGCTGTGACCACGGCCAGGAACTGTGGCACAGAAGTAAAGGCCAGTGTCCGCTGCTTGCCCAGCCTTGCGCCACTATGCCCATGGCATCTGTCACCCTGGGTCCTGGTGCCCTGTGAGGAGAATGCTGATGTCACCTCCCACTCACAGGAGCCGTGGGGGCTCCGGAGCTTGGCGGCCTTGTAGCCGACCGCCCCACGGTGTCCTAGGGCGTATGGACACAGTGAGGTCTCTTCCGTGCTGGGGAGGCGTGGGCAGATCTCAAGCCCACCCAGCTCTCCTCCCCACCCTCAAACACCACAATGAAATCAGAGTTCTGCAGCAAGACAGCCTGGAAGTAGCCCTCCCACTGGCACAAGGGGTCTGTTTTGAGAACTTCTCTAGTTTCTGGAGCCACGTTCAGCCATCTGTTATGGAGAAGTGCACCGCCTGGGCATGAAGGCAGCGGGCTGTCAGGCCTCCTGAGTACCCAGGGAGCCCACGTCCATGCCTGTGAGGGAGAGGCCCACTTCGTGAGTCCACCTGGGGGCTGTGGGGAGCCCAGGCACAGCTGCCTTTGCTGCTGCTGCTGCCACCTGAGCACAGGTGGGGCCTGCCCGCGGTGTGTGGTCAGAGCCCAGGTTCTGTCTCCCCAGCCTGAGCCCATCTTCCCTTGCTCAGCCGTGCCCTGCACTGCGGGCGCTGGGCTCTCGGGAGGTGGGTCATGCCCACAGCTCCATCTGGCTCACAGCGAGTGCCGCATTGTCGTGAGCACCTCCTGCTTCCCGAGCCCAGCGCAGGCAGCACTGCCCCTTCTCTCCCACCTTTCCCTCCTCTAAGGAAGCCCATTCTGCTGGGCCCTTGGTGGCTGTCTGGGCACCACCCCACAGCCCTGGACAGCGAGCCCATGGGTGGGCTTGCCCCTGGGAAGTGCTGCCCATCCTGTGTTCCAGGAGAGCGGGGCCAATGAGCACTTCACCCCTTGTCCTGCTCAAGTGACATGCGGCTCCCCAGTGGCTTCACGTGTGCCCACCCAAGGTTTCCTGCCAGGTGAGACGCAGTTTGTGTCCTGGCCTGCATGTCGGGACTCCCATGCATGGTGAGGTGTGTGGTGCGTGACAGTGGCTGGACAGGGTTGGAGTGACCGTGGGAAATGGACTGGGACCTGGAAGGAGGGGAGGCCACATCCATATTGCGTCTGCTCCGAATTCTCTGCCCGCGCATCCTCTTAGAGTGTCCTGGTGGAAGCCACCAGGTCACACGGGAAGCCGCATTGGCAAGGATATTTGTTTCACTGCTCTTTAGTTATAAAAGCTTGGGACAGATTCAGCATGTGGCAGTGGTGGTTACATGAGTCAGAATCCTTGCTGGGGACCTCAGAGATGTGTCGGGGGGCCTGGGAGTGTTGACGGGGCGGGGTGGGGTGGGGCTGGGGGACTGGTGGCTGCAATGCCAGGCTCAGGTTCCCGGCTCTACCACTTAGTGGAAGTGACCCGGTGTGACTTGCTGCTGTGTGTCGGGGTCCTCCCACTGTGAATGGGCCGTGGAGCACCTGCCTCATATACACATGAGCACACACGCACACAGGCACGTCTGCACACTCACGCTCACACATGCTCAGGCACACACGTGTGCACGCACACCCTTGCTGGGGCATGCCTGAGTGTTGCTAACAGGTGACTTCCTGGTGAGATTGTGACCAGTTGATCTCAAGGCTCCCACATGCTCTGCCGTAAACACGCATAACGTTTGTAACTGGGAAAAAAATGCCTCTAGATGATTGAAGAGGGTTCTGAGAAGTCTGGACTCTTTTCTAAGTAATTTGTGGTCATGGGAGGATAAAAAGCACTGGAAATACAAATAACTAAGAGCACAAAGGTGAGGTGACTCCTAGAATCTGTCCAAAAGAACCCGTGGTTGCAGGTGCGGGGCCCCGTCTCCATCAGCCCCGGTGGCTCCGGGCCGTGGGAACAGCAGAAGAGGTGCCAAGTGTGGCTGTCCGATGGCCCCGTTGGCCCTGACCTGTGCTTCTCTCCCTCCAGGTCGTGCACACGCACAAGCCACAGTTCATGGCTCTGCACTGCCAGGAGTTCGGAGGAAAGAACTACGAGGCCTCCATGTCCCACGTGGACAAGTTCGTCAAGTAAGTCTCAGGGCAGGTGCTGGGGCACAGCCCCTTCCCCGGGGGTGTGGGTGCTGGTGGGTGGGTACTGGTGTGTCCCCTTCCCCAGGGTTGTGGGTGCCGGCAGGGCGGGTGCTGGGACACAGCCCCTTCCCTGGGGGTGTGGGTGCTGGTGGGTGGGTACTGGTGTGTCCCCTTCCCCGGGGTTGTGGGTGCCAGCAGGGTGGGTGCTGGTGTGTGTCCCCTTAACCCGGGGGTGTGGGTGCCAGCAGGGTGGGTGCTGGTGTGTGTCCCCTTCCCTGGGGGTGTGGGTGATGGCAGGGCAGCTGCTGGTGCTTGTCCCCTTCCTCAGGGATGTGAGTCCTGGGGGTGGCGTCTTTTGATGGTACTGTGATCCCCAGCTTCATCATTTGGGACTCACCTGGGGGTCATTTTGGCTGAGTCTCAGTTTTCCAGAGATAGGAGTGGTCTAGACGTGTGGCCACAACCCTCCTGGGGCAGCAATGGAAGGCAGGGTCTGTGCTCTCAGGCCAGGTATGTGAGCCCCCGGTACTGAGTGGAGCCGTCCCAGTGTGTGTGTGTCTGAGGCCTGGGCCTGCAGTGGCCCAGGTACACATCCCACTGAGATGTGTCCATCTCAGGGAGGTCAGCTGGGAGCGTCCATCCTCTGTGGAGGCGAAGTCTCCATCATTAAGGAGGAAGGTGCCATGCATGTGGTCCCAGTGTGCATGCCCTGAGGCTCCTGAGGGGGCTGGCCCAACCGAGTCCTGCCTGGGAAGATGGGTGCCCCGCCCTGGGCATGCAGGACTGGACAGGAGCAGGTAGGGGCAGGCAGGCAGGCTTGTGTTCAGACATGGACCTCCCGCCGGCCACTCCTAACAGTGGCTGCTGTATTTTCCTGAGGCCACAGCAGTGGAGCCCGTCCTCTGTGTCCCCTACACTGTGGCCCTGGCACATGCCCATGTCAGGGGTCCCGTCTCCACCTGCAGACCCTGGGCAAGGCCTGGCTTCCTCGCAGCATGAGGCCTTCACGTCGAGAAGCTTCACTGCTGCCGCACTCAGGGGGTGGATGCAGCTACCCCCGGTTGGGATCCCTGGACAGAGCCGCCGGGACTCCCAGCCTGGTCCCGGCGCCAGTGCCAGCGCCAGTGCGAGCGGGCCTCCAGGGCTCCCAGCCGCTGCATCCTCACGTCCTGGAGTGGCATGGCCCTCCACCCTGACTCCCAGCACGGGTTCCTTGAGCAGAACCAAGCAGTGCTTTCAGCTGCCAGAAAAACCGCCACAGCTTCCCAAAGTGATCTGTAGTTTAAGGCAGTTTTCACCAAAATCTTCACGGCATTTTCCTCACACTCAACAGACTAACACTAAATTGCTGTTTAGGAGCAAAGGGTCAAGAATAGCTAAAAGAATCCTGAAGAAAAACATAGTGGGTTCTCACCCAGCTGGACCCCAGGGCTCATCCTGAAGCAGCGGGGCAGGTGGCGTCGTGCAGGTGTCCAGGCCTGAGAGGGGAGTGGAGGCCCCGCCCAGACCCTCCGAGGCTGCCCTGCAGGAGGAAGGTGGGCAGGGGATCGAGGGGGTCCTGTGCTGGGAAGATGAAACTGGGTCCCTGCTTTGTGTCGTCAGCAGCCACTTCCCGCTCACCCTGTGTAAGATGAATTTCAGTTGTATTAATTATGTAAATGTAAAAGGCAGCATTAAAACTTTCCGTCTCAAATGCGGGAGAAAATCTTTACCGTTTTGGGATGAGAGATTTCTTTTAAAATGGGCAAGAAGTGCCGCCTGCAAAATACAAGGTGGAAAAGCGTGGCTGTGTTAAAACTCAGCGTTTGCTTGTGAAAAAGCACCCTGACCAAAGTGAAAATGAAGCCACTCTGGGAAGGACGCCTGCGGCTCACATTACCGACGAAAACTAGAGCCTAAACCTGTGCACCCAGCCAGTCAGTGAGGAAAGCGGCACCTTCGGGAGGGGGGAGAAAGCGGGGACAGACCCTGGGCACGCGGGACGCGGGAGCCGCCCGCACTGCAGGCGGGACTCGGGCCGGACGGGAGCCAGGCCGCCGTGCTTGGTTTCAGAGCCTCACGCGGAGCGTGGCCCCCATGACGCTGTGTGTTTCGTTCCTCCGCACGTGCTGCCAGCGTACATCGTTACGATTTTTGCTTTAGACAGTTTTGTTTTTAAAAAAGATTAAGAGGTGAGAAAAACGTCCTTTATTTTGACCAGGTCGTGGGTTGATCCCACTGCCCTCCGCCCGTTTGTGTGGATTCTGCTTTTTGTTTGGCATGGTTCTCCGTCCGCCTGAAGAACTTTCTTTAACATTTATTTTAGCACAAGTCAGCTGCTGATGAATTTTCTCAGCTTTTGTATGTCTGAAAGGGTCTTTGTCCTCGTTTCTGAAAGATGTTTTTGTTGTTTAATGACATCTCCCCATTGTCTTCTGTATTGCGTTGTTGCTGCCGAGAATCTCCCCGTTGTTCCCTCTTCATTTTCTTGTATATAATGTGTCCTTCCCCCACTGCTAGGTTTGTCCGTATAGCTGGTTTTCAGCAACCTGATTATTCTGTACTTCGCTTTGATGTTCTCTGTGTTTATCTCACTTGGGCAGTTTGAGCTTTTGCGGTCTGTTTCCTGTTTTCGTCAGATTTGGGGAAAGTTTGTCCATTGCTGCTTTAAATGCTGCTTTCTTTTCCTTCCCTCTCTTCTGTCCTCAGGCTCGGGTTACCTGATGTGAATTGCCTGGTGCTGCTCCACGGCCCCTCAAGCTCCTCTGACTGTTTCCAGTGTGTGCTCCCTGAGTTTCGGTTTGGATCGCTTCTGCAGGGTCTTTTTAAGCCGCCTGGCGCTTTTCTGTGGCAGGTCTTGATCTTCTCTGAAGTCCATGCAGTGGACTTGTTTATTTCTGACGCCGTGTTTGTCAGCTCCTGGAGGCTCACGTGCAGTCCCCTGTCCTTGCCCCTCCGTCTGTCTCTGCTGTCCTCCGCTCTCCGGTCTCGTCTATAATGGCTGTTTCCAGCAGCTTTCAGCTCATGCCGTCATTTTTGTCCCTTTGGGTCTGTTTCTGTTGACTGTTTTTTCATGGGCTTGCAGGCCACATTTTGTTGCTGCTTCGCACATCAGATTGTTTTAGACACAATTCCAGATGTTAATGTTGCGCTGTTGAGTGTCTCTTCTCTAAAGCACGTTGAAGGTGTGTTTGCAGCGGTTAGGCCGCCGAGCGGTCAGTGTCAGTCTGTCAAGCCATTCTCTTCCTTGCCCTTCCCTACGGGTGCGCTTTTATTTTCTTACATGTGGACGCCCCTTCTTCCTGACACGTGGACTGGCTGAGTCACAGGGTGCTGGTCTCCTTTCTCCCCACCGTCTTGAATGAGCAAGCATGGGTGGGGGGCCAGACAGGTGGGGCGTCTTCCTCCCATTCACGGCTCCAGGGGTGTGCGGCGGCCTCCTGGGCAGCCATGCATTGTGGAGCCAGTGGTGAGATTATCTCCTTAAGACTTTCCTGATGATGAAATGTGACCAGGAGGATGAACGGTCGGTGACAACAGTGTGCCCAGAGGTCCTCTCCTTCCTTTATGGTTGCAAGGCCATGGCCACTGTTCCCTCTGGGAGGAGCAGATGGGGACAGAGTTGCTGGGGCTCTGGGGTGCATGTGCCCCAGCCTGTGTGGGCTGGTGGCGATTGTGGGGGTCCAGTTTCTCTCGAGACCAAATGTGAGCTACTGGGAGACCTCCCCCGCAAAAGCTTAGAGTTGCCCTTGCCTTGCATGGGACCTTCCCACCGGTTCTGTCCCGGGGATGCCTCAGACCCCGGCACTCACTGCTGGGTGGAGTCCAGAGCCTGCGGGCTCATGAGCTCTCCACATGCCGAGAGCTCGAGGTGGGGCCAGCTCCTGCGGCTGCTGCCCTTCCCTGCCCTCTGCCTGTCACGGTCTCGCGGTGACGTGCCCCCGGCACTGGGGCCCATCCTGATGCTCGTGGGCCTCTCGTGAGGTGTGAGGCGTCCGCGTGGCTTTTCCTCAGGAACTTCCTTTCTTCCTTCCAGAGAACTGTTGTCGAGTGACGCAATGAAAGAGTATAACAGGGCTCGGGTCTACCTGGACGAAAACTACAAATCCCAGGAGCACTTCACGGTGAGTCCCTTCCGCTGCCCGGCGCAGGGGTCACACAGGCTGGCCCTGGCAGGAGCCAGCCCTTCACCTGTGTAAATGGAGAGGGGTCGGGGTGCTCCCCGCCCTGAGCCTCGCTCCTGCCACCCTACCTGGTGCTCCTGCAGCCTGCTTGGTGGTTTTCCGGGTGGTCTGAGCCCAGGGCCGGCCTGGCAGGGAAGGTGGCCTGGCACGCACAGGGTCCTGGGGCTCCAGACCGAGCCCAAGCAGGAGTCGGGAAGTGACAGCCCGGGAGGGGCCCAGGGCCTCAGTGTGTGTGAAAGAGGGAGTCTGGGGTTCTGGGCGTGTAGATGAGAGGTTGGATGGCAGCCGCAATCTGCTCTGAGAGCTGCTGTCGCCAGCCATGCTCAGCTCCGGATTGGCCTGGCCCTTCCCTTCCTGAGCCCTGAGGGTGCGGGGCTGGGGCGGCATCCCATCTCCAGAGAGGCTGTTCATGGGGTGAGTGCAGGGGAGGGGGACATAGCCTTTCACAGGGCTGGGAAAGACCTGCCCCAAAGTCCTGCCACTCCTCTGCGGTCCCCCATCAGGTAGACACGTGAGACAGTGGCCCCAGCATATGTGACAGCCACAGAGACAAAGGTACCAGGTGTCTGGGAAGGGGCGGGAAGCTCCTCAGAGGAAGGGACGCTCTGCAGGTTGTAAATAAATTACTGGTGGTTCAGAGACCCACATCTTAAATTCCGTCTTTACGCCCTGGGCCCCTTGTCCTGGGTCCGTCTCCCCCGTCTCTGGGGAGGCCCTGGGTCACCCGGCCTGGGTCCGTCTCCCCCGTCTCTGGGGAGGCCCTGGGTCACCCGGCCTGGGTCCGTCTCCCCCGTCTCTGGGGAGGCCCTGGATCACCCGGCCTGGGTCCGTCTCCCCCGTCTCTGGGGAGGCCCTGGGTCTCCTTGACCCGGGTCCATCTTCTGGCCTTCTGTCCCCAGCGTCACCGCTCCCCAGCTGTGACCCCGCCGCTGTGTGACAGGCCCTCTCCCAGGTGTGCGCCCGTGGGTGGCAGTGCTGAGGGTGTTGTACTCCAGGGCTCCCCTGCCCTGCAGGTGGGACTCATTGCTCTTTGGGTTCAAGGGCCATCTCACAAGCTTGGCATTTGGGCGCCTAGTGCCAGTTACTCAGTGTCCCTGTCCCTGAGATGCTCACACAGCTGCCGTGCGTGGCCCCAGCCATAGTGGAGTCTGCACAAACCCCAGGAATCCCGCATTCGGCCCCTGCCCCTCGTGCTATCAAGCAGCTGCTCCCAGCCTCAGGCCTCAGGCCTCGCCCACCGACACGCAGGGGGCCGCTCCTCTTGCTCTGTGGGGCACATGGAGGCCACAGGGCCTCCTCGACCACAACCGAGGCCCTCATCCCCATGCTCAGGGTGGAGCTCCTCCTGTCAGCCCTCCTTCCTCTCCCGCCGTGGTCCCTCCTCCCTGCCGGCTTCGTCCTCTCCCTGAAGAGGAGAGCTTGACCTTGACCTCTCACCCTGCTCTGCCATGACCCGACTTCCTGTGTTTCCCAAGCGGGGCTTATTCAGATGAAAAAGAAAGTTGAAAAAGCAGCAGGTTAGACATCGCAGAAGGAAAGAGAAGGGGATTGGATTTGAAGACAGCCACAAGCGCGACTCACTGTGAAACAGAGAAGGACTAGAAAGTTGATAGAGATCACCGTGAAATACCAGGTGTCTTAACACGTGTGGCCGGAGGCCCAGCAGGAGCAGAAGAGGAAGCAGACGGGGCAGTGCTTACAGAAGCCAAGTCAACGTTCATGAAACTTACCACAGATCCAAATACTGCAAGCTTCAAGCCAAATAAACATACCGACGCACATCAACGTCGGATTGCTGAAAGCATTTACATGAAGGCCTTCCTGGCCACCATCATCCTCGGAAGGGTGGGTCTCTGCTCCCCGCCTCTGTGTGCCACCCTGCCGTGAGAGACTCGTCTGTGGCAGTTCCTGGCCACCTCCTCCTCGTGGGGACTGTCCCTCAGCTCTTCGCAGATTCCTTTAGATATAAAGATACAGGTACTTTAAAAGTGAAGGGAGGGAGGAAGATGTACCTTGCTAAACAGTAGTTAGAAGAAAGCAGGAGTGCCTGTGCCTTATCAAAGCAACCTCAGGACGAGGGCTGTTGTCAGGGCTGCGGGGCTGTGCCCCCTTGGCATCTGGGGCTCTTCAGCCAGAGCAGCGGTGGACACAGCCGCAGACAGAGGCACTTGCGTGCTGGACCCTGGTCAGAGCAGACCTCTCAGTCTGCCCAAGCCTGACCAAGGGACCGGGGAGGGAAGTGCGTGCGGGCTGGACGGGGGGATGGCCGTCATTTCCACCAAAACGTCTTTCACTGAGGCAAAAGCCTCAGGAAACCTTCTTCAGACCCCTGAGGGCTGCGACCACTGTCCACATCTGGCTGTTGTCAGGGTTTTCCAGGTGGGTCCGGAGCGGCCTGTGCTTGGGGGTTCAGGTCCACCCGAGGCCCTGGCTGGCGTGCGCATCTGGGCGTCTACACCTGGCTTCGGGCACAGGCCCTGCCAGCCCTGGACGAGCTCGGGTTGTTCTCCCTTCTGGCCCTGGGCGGTTCCAGCCGAGCAGCCACCACGGCACGAGTCTGGTTCCAGAACCACCCCGCCTCCGCATCTGTGGGACAGAAATGATACACACACATTCTTTCACCAAAAGGAATTAAATTAGAAGCAAATAGGGATTTACAGAAAAGTCTCAAATATTTGGAAATTGTTTATTAATAACCCCAAGTCAAATTAGAACATATTTTCAATTATGTGAACAGCTCGAACCTTCAAAACATGTGAGATGCCAAAATAGTCTGCACCTGCTGCAGATTCTGCGGCAGCATTCAGCGAGGGGAGCCGGACCCAGCTGTAAAAGGAAAGACGCCTGTCAGGGGAGCGAGCGCAGGGGCTGGGCCGGGTCCCCCACCCCAGAAGCCACCGTGCCCTGGGTGCCTCAGAGTGCCTGAGAGTGACGGCACGTCAGCCTGTTCTCCAGCGCACTTTCCAGTTGAGTCTCTGAGATCTCTGAAGCCAGGGTGCAGGGCACCAGGGCAGCTGAGCGAGCCACCCAGAGGCGGCCGCACCGGGTCTTCGGTCCCGAGGCTGTTCCTCCAGTCACCTTCACAGCGGGAGTTTCTAGAAAATGGGACAGGATAAGGCTTGGGACTGGGAGTGGGAATGGGTCGCAGCCTGCTCTCAGGAAAGTGGGGCGTGGCAGGAGCTCCCGGTGCCTCTGCCACCCTTCAGCTCAGTGGGCTCCAGCCCTGGCTCGCCTCTCCAGGCACGGTCCTGAACAAGGCTTTAGGCCAGGTGGATGGTGGAGGGCAGCCTTGCCTGGCAGGTGGGATGGTCCAGGACGCCCCAGATCCCCAGTCAGGAGCTCAGTGCCAGAACTGGCACCAGGGTGGCCTGTCATCCCCGTCTTGCCACTGAGTCTGGGCTGGCCAACCCCAGAGCACTGCCCCCTGGGCCACCACTGGCAGCCTCCGTGTCCTGGTCTCTGCTGGGGGGCCTCAGGGTGTCTGGGTGGTGGGACCCGACCCCCCCAGGGTCTTGAGCAGAGCTGGGCAGCAGTGGCCAGCCAGACAACCACCCTCTTGCCCCAGCCGGATGCCCTCCGGCTGTCAGAGGGAGGAAAATTTAATTTTACAAGATTGATGGTATTGGAGCAATATTTTTAGCTGAGTCTGGTTCAAATAATAGGCCATTAATTGAAAAAGGAAATTGAAATGAATTTATCTGGTACATAAATGCTGTCAGGGGTATTAATAGGGATCAGAAAATAGTGGCGTGTTCCCAGAAGGCGGTGGAACCTGAAGCTGTGCCTGGCGCGGGAGCCTGTGCGGGGGACGCGAGGGGCATCAGGCAGCCTGCAGATGCCCATTACCACCAGGAGATGGCGCCCACGCGGCACCTGAGAGTTTCCTACTGGAGATGCTCTGAAGGCAACTTTTGTGCTTAAAAAATGATATTAGGCCCGGCGCAGTGGCTCACGCCTGTCATCCCTGCACTTTAGGAAGCCAGGATGGGTGGATCACAAGGTCAAGAGTTTGAGGACAGCCTGACCATCACGGTGAAACCCTGTCTCTACTAAAAATATGAAAAACTAGCCAAGTGGCGCCCGGGAGGGGTAGGCTGCAGTGAGCTGAGATGGCGCCATTGCACTCCAGCCTGGGCAACAAGAGCAAGACTCCATCTCAAAAAAAAGGATTTTTTGTTTGTTTGTTTGTAAGAACCATACTGCATGAGCACGAGCGTAACCGGGGGACTCATCAGGTCTGCACAGAGGCCGAGGAGACAAACTCGTCTCTGGCCGGCCGCTCTCGGGGCAGCGTCCCCTCCCAGGCCTGTTGCCGTGGGCCAGGTGGCTCCTGCGTGTTTTGCGGGAAAGTCAAGCGTTGGAAGTCGGTTCCTTCAGAGGCTGTCGTCTCGCGTGTTCTGGCATCAGCACTGTGAGTCCCAGCCCCGTCCCATTCCCAGGGACATGTCTGAAATGTTCCTCCTCGCACAGATTGACAGCACTGGTGGGGGTGAACTCGAGCGGGCACACATGCCCCAGGGTCCATGGTGCCTGGACCCTCGTCCCAACAGTGGCCACCCTGGGTGTGCTTGGCATTTGCTTCCTGCTTCCCATGACTTTGTCAGAAAACCAGTTCCTACAAAAACAGTTCAGAGAAACCTCAGTTCCGAGGAGGAGGAGGAGGTAGACATCCCACCTACCCGGAGCCCTTAGGACAGACTGCAGCAGTCCCGCCAGGTGAGACGGGCCCGGCTCGGGGCAGAGGGCCCCAGGAGGTGCCGGGCTGACACCCAAGCTCTGTGCCTGCATGGAGGGTGGGACAGTGACTCGTGCCAGGCTGGAGGATGCCTGAGTGCCGGGTGGTCCGGGAGCGCCTTCACCAGAGCCCCTGCTCCTGGTCCCAGCGTGGCGTCTCTACCCCTGGGAACACGTGTCCACCTCAGCGCTGGAGCCGGGGCTTG